CAGGCAGGGCGGGTCTCGAACCCGCGGGCTCAGGCAATCCACTCACCTCAGCCTCCCAAAGGCGCGGGATTACAGGCTGAGCCACCGAGCCCGGCTCAGCCCTTCATTTTCATCCTACGTCCGCCCACCCATCTATCCATTGATCAGTTTTTTGAGTCGGGGTCTCACTGTTGCCCAGGCTGGAGTACAGTGGCAGTATCATGATGATCACAGTTCTCAGCAGCCATGACCTCCTGGGCTCAGTTGATCCTTCCACCTCAGCCTCCTGAGTAGTGGAGACTAGAGGTGCGCACCACCATGCCCAGCTAAGTGTTTTTTTTTGTAAAGATGAGTTTCCAGTATGTTGCCCAGTTTGGTCTTGAACTCCTGGGCTTAAGCAATCCACCTGCCTTGGCCTCCCAAAACCCTGAGATTACAGGTATGAGCCACCACCCCTGGTTGATTAGTATTTACATTGTGTCTGTAATGTGCCAGGGAGTGTGTCAGGTGCTGAGAGTACCTGGGGGAATAGAGAGTCACGATGCCCCATGCTTCAGTGGAGTTTGCAGGTGTGTTAAAGTGTAGGTTTGATTATGATTCAGGCCTTGCTATAATTCCTCAGTGAAGGGGGCACACCATATCCCACAGGGCCACCTGGGAGAAGGAAGCAGCACGAGGGAGCCTTATTGTGGTTTCCCGGGAAAGGCAAGCAGGGCAAGGGAACTAAGGTGGGCTCGTTTGAATTTCAGCAGGCTCTGGGGTCTAGAGATTGTCCATCGCTAGCTGGTACCTGACCCTGGGATGATTAGGGCAGGTGGCCAAGAGTGTGAACGCCCCACGAAGGAGGTATCTGGGTGTATGCTCTGGGCTGGTTGGTTTGCATATCAAAGGCACAGCCAGCTGTTTACTGTCTCTGGAGTTCGCTGGCCCTGGGGGGGAGGGAGGACAGTCCTTCCAGTGTAATCAAAGCATCAGAATAAAAAGACATGCTCACAAGTACAATCGTCTGCAGAGGTCTCAAGCTCGCAGCCCACTGGCCACAGGTGTATTTTATTGCATTTGATGGGGCATATGTTTTAAATCTTTCAGTGCAAACACCGGAGGCAGAGCATGAGTTTAATCTGCAGTTAGCCACAGACCCCACCATTTTCTATTGCCTAACAAGCAGGCCACTCACATATAGTGAGCTTTGAGCTTCATGGTTTGTGCCCTGATCTTCAGTTTCTATATTCAGAGAGCACAACCTGGGTGACTTCGTCCTGGGTGACTTTGCAGTCATTAATTATACCTCAAAGTCCAACTCTGCTGACCTGCCTGGCTTTCTGAGACTCTGTTTCTTCCCCCATGGTCCTGCATTGTACCAACTTTTCAATTACAGAACTCGCCGCTGAGGCCTGATGAGAATCACCTCCCACTTGTGGAACACCTTCCTGAGTGCTTCTTTCCCATTGCCTCATACACAAACTTTAAAAAGTGGGAGGGGTAGGGGCCAAGGCCCCGGGACCCTTAAAGTTTCCGTGAAAAATCACATATGGGGCAGATTGGTTAATAGGAGAAGAGGCATGCAAACTTTTTGATGGGTATACACAGGAGCCTTCAGAACGAAGACTCAAGACTTAGGGAAAATGGTCCACTTTTAAGCTTAGGTTCAACAAAGGATGGACGGCCATGTAGAAATATGATGGATAAGAAGCGTATGATCTAAGGCTAGTTGACTGGGGAAGCCCAGCAAGACTAGATTCTTCTTGGCATCTCTGAGATGCATTCCTTCTTTCTGGTATGGGGCAAGACCTTCTCTGGAATGGAGGTCTTATATTCAAACAAGTTAGGTCAGATAATTTCTTTACAGCCAGTTTTTACACAGAAAGGTGGAGGGAAAACTAAAGTAGTGTTTTCAGATTTTATGACTAGTCTGGGGAGCAGTGGTTCTGGTTTTTACGACCCGCCTTGAGGAGGAGAGATTCTAGTTTCCGTCACTAGGCCTGGGGGAGAATAGGGCTGCGAGACAGGAGGGCAGAAGGTCAGAGGAAGAATTTTGCCTCTGAGGTCTTCATTTGGGGATGTTGCTTTCTGAGCCCTAGTAGGGGCCAGCTCTTCCCCCCCATTTCGGAGATGGGAGCACCAAAACAAACGGCATGACTCAGGTGAGCGTGTGCTTGTGAGCGGCCGAGTCTGAGGCTGAAGCCACACTTGCCGTCTCCAGACCTCTCTCTCCTTTCGGCTGGCTCCAGGACAGGGCCCCAGGAAGCCCAGCCGGGGTGAATACAGGCCTTTCTACGAAGATGCTCATTCACACACACACAGCAGGTACTTAAGCACCTGCTACATCCAGCCTCACACAGGAATACAGGGGATAGAAGAACGAGAAAGCCGGGCATAGTGGCGGGAGGATCGCTTCGGCCCAGGAGTTCGAGGCCAGCCTGGGCCACATAGCAAGACCCCCCCCATCAAAACAACGAAATAAAACAAAATAACGAGGCATTAACCCTGCCCTCGGGGAACAACTGGCCAGGAGATGACAAGATCTCCAAAAACCTCTGCAAGCGAGAAAGTGGCCAGCCCCTAGGAGAGGGACGAATGGGAGAGTCGGGCCTAGCTGCTTAGTTTACGAGCTGGGTTGTTCTGCCCTTCCCCTAAACATGGGGGTGTTAAGCTGCATGTTGGCACTGGCAGTGAAGTGATTCTTTAAAAAAAACTGAGACCGAGTGCTCTGTTCTTTCGGGGATGAGCTTTTTATTTCAGTTTCAGGTGAACTCCAGATAATAAAGTGACAGTCGGCTAAGTTCCTCCTCGTGGCTTGCAATGAGGAAGTGTATCCTTGTGTGTGTGTGACAGAGTTAAGGGCTAAT